CCCCCAGGAGACCATTCAGTCTAAAGACAGCAATACAGCCAATGTCCCCTTTTTAAGGAGGCAGAGTCCAATCCTGGCTCGTCTTTTGATCTGATGCTAATTCTAACCCGAGCCCCGGGACCCGGCAGTGAAGAACGGGCTGATGGACTTCAGAACAGACCACGGCTGGGCCAGAGCCGGACAGCCGCCTTCTGTAAAGATGGGCTACCCAGAAACCTCTAGGCTGCTCCTGCCCCGGGAGCAGGCAGGTCTCCCTTGGCTCCTGGAGGGTAGAGAAGACACTGACCCTTCCTGTCCAGGGGCCAAAGTCTTTGCCCTGGGTTCGTTCAGCGTCCGTCACCAGGTCCCAGTTCCTCTTAGCCCAGAGGTGGGTCCTGTGAGCTCCACTGCGTCCAGCATGACCAGAAAGACAGGTTGGTGTCTTCTTTTTCCTCTTTTGGAAACATCTGGATGTGTACCTGTCCCGTGGGGGGGGGAGACGTCACTCACAGTGCCAAATGCGTACCAGACCGCTCATTCACCGTTCGCCTACGTCTGTTTTTATAAGATCAGAATGAAAAACCCATTGGGATTCAATACTTTTGACCAGGATACACTCTTGGGAAACTCGAGGACCCACTGCGGCTTCTTCCCAGTGGGGCCACACGTGGACGGAGCCCGCCAGCTTCTGCGGATGCATGTGGTGGCACCGATGACCCGCCTGTTCCTTGCAGGCCGTCCCTGTCTCTGGCCGCTAACACCCTGTGCTTTCAAATGCCCACCCTCCGCCCTCTGCAGCTTAGAGCAGACCTCTCCTGGTGTTGGGTTTTGGTTTTCTGATAGGATCATTGAACCGACACAAGCCTTCCCACGAGCCTCCGTCTTCCCTTAATGCCATGATGCGTTTCAACTGGGATCCTTTGAAGTCAGCTCCTTGGAGAGCTTACAGAACGGCAGGCCCATCGCTCTAAAGACTGCCAAGCAGCCCAAAGGGGAGAGCAGTGGCGATGTCTTCGGGAGGGTGATAAAAGGGGG